CTACGCATGCGAGGCGTGCAAGCGCAACGTGCAGGCGGACTCGCCCATGTACTCACTCCAGGGATCCAGCAGCGCGCCGCTACTCGCGCAGCGTGCTGATGCACTGGCTGCCAAGAGGAAAGGAACGCGATCACCCCTCGCACTCTCTCGAGTTTGTCAGGTGCCAGTTCGCGGATCCCCGCGTCCGGCCGCGTCCGCGCGCCGGCCGGCGCCCGCGAGTTCTCGCGTGACCTGGAGGGCCGCGTCGCCCCTGCGACCCGCGAGCTCAGCCACCCAGCGGCGCGGACCTTGGAGCGGCAGACGGGCGCTTCGCCGCCCGCGCCCGCAGGGGGGTCAGGAGCCAGCTCATCGCCAAGCGCTGGCGCCCAGGGCGCTGGTTCGGGCGACTGTGTCGCTGGGCCACGGGCCCGAGCAAGTCCAGCATCGGGCGCAGAGCATCCTCGAGCAGCGCCGCGAGTTGCCGGCGCAGCTGCGCGCAATCCAACGCACTCGGACTGGACTCGCTGCGACGGCATTAACTCCTTGCGAGCATGTCGAAGCGACTCGCCCGAAGCACGCGCGCGGGAGCTTCGCGAGCTACACCCGCGGATGTGGCGCGCCCCCAAGGAGGGGGAGGTGGCGCGGGCACTGCAGCAGCCAACGTGCCACAGGACATCCTGAACTTCATCCCAACGGCGGTCAACAACTGCAGGTGGCGTCGCAAGTGGCCACCGCCAGCGTGCCAGACCATCCCTGCACTCCGCATGTCGACGCGACTCAACCAGGGCGTCGAGTGTGACGTCCTTTTCTACAATGATCGCATGATCCTCCGCCTGGTATGTTGCGCCTCGCTTTTGCTCGCTGGCCGGGAAGTCACGTGCAAGCGCGACTCGGCGCTGCTTGCCGCCGTCGGCCGCTCATGGATCCATCTGTTCGGCTCGATGAAGACTTTGATCCTGGGCGGCGAGGGCGGGATGACCTCGGCGCACTTCGTGGAGGAGATGAGGAGGAGACGGGCACAGTTTGACATGCGTGCTCCGCGCCAGGACGCGCGTTTGATCGAGCGGCGCGGGGCCGCGCGGCGACGGGCACTTCGCGCCGCAGCCGGAGCGCGAAGGCATCGCCGCGAACTTCGACTCCGTGCCAGCGCGCGCTATCTTTGCCGGCAATGGCCTCACCCACGGTGGCGGCGATGCGCCGTGCAACGTCGTCTTCTGGCGGCGGCCGCCCATGCTGCCACCGCTCGAAGCAGACGAGCAGGGCGCGGCATCTGGCGACTGCGTTGCCGGCGCCAAGCCCCCCGCTGGGGGAGTGCAGCCCGGCCGACCGCAGTGGCGCATTCGAGAGACAGCCCTGCAAGGCATGGTCGAGGCCGCATCGATTGCGCGCGTCAGCCGCGCCCTCAGGGCCCGCGCCGCCGAGCCCAGGGGGCGCCGCGCCAACGTGGGCGACCGGGCGGGGATCCACGGGCCGCCAAGCACCAAGGGCGCGCCTTGCTGGGCGGGCCTTGGGACAGTCATGTCTTTTGATCCGGCCCCAAGCAAAGTGGCGGGCAAATGCCGCCGAGCCGAGATTGTCCGCAGACTACACGACGGCAGGGCTTCTGCCGGCGCCGTCTTCGACGGGCGAGATGGGCGTCGGCATGGCGCCCGCAGGCTTGGCCTGGGGCCGCGTGGAGCATTGCCTGGGGCACGCGGCGCCTGGCCCCGGGGCTGGGGCCGTCGGCCGCTGGGGGGGGCATCAGGGCGCGCAGCTCACCAGGCAAGCGCGACAGCGCCACGACGTCCTCGAGGCCCTGCGCCACTTGTCCCGCAGATGCTTTCAGTTGCCAGACGTTCGCGCTCGTCAGACGGCTGCGTCCGGCGACTGCGCCGCCGGCGCCCCTCAGACAGCCGCGCCTGACACTTTCGCCGCCGCCGTGGCCGCGGTTATCAAGCGCGACGCCGATTTTCTTCGGTCCAACGAGGAAGTGCCCAGGTTGCGGAAGGAGGTTGCCGCATCTTCGAGGAGCTCGCCATCTGGGCCAAGTACAACGGTTTCGAGAGGCGGCCGTTCAAGGGCGCCCGAAACGCAATGGATTCCAGACGCGTGCTGAAGTGGAAGCACAGGAAGTGATCGGACGGCAGGACTGTCGAGATCACCCGTTTTCGCGCGGCGTTGATGGGCTTTCGCGACATGGGCGCCGGAGCCTTGGAAACGTTCGTCGGGGCAGCGAAGCGGGCGTCTCAGCGCCTACCACCCTCAGCGGTAGCGCGTCGCCCCGACTGGGCGCGCGTCGCCCCGACCAGGTGCGCGTCGCCCATTGATGTCGGTGAGGTATTCCTGCGAGGCATGACCTATGCGGAGATGCAGGAGTAAGGCGAATCACCTCGGCAGGTGAACTTCGCTTTGCCACCTGGCAGCGCAACGGGTTGAGCATTCAAGTCAGCGGGCTCGCGCGGACTGCGTCCGTGCACCTCGCGGCCCTTCAGCAATTTATCTTGTGCTGCTCTCGCATCGTTCTCGTGGGGGGATAAGTTGGCCTGCCCTGACTCGTCTCCTGAGCTCTGTCAAGAAGAGCAATTGTATCCCTGCCGCTGGCGCCGGCAAAGTCCCCCCCCTTCTGCGTTTGGCGCCTTGGGGGGCCAAAGTGCCTTTAGGTTGAAGCGAAGTCTGAAGACTCCCAGACATGCCAGAACTAGGCAAATGCGTCCCCGTCGCAGGCATGCAGCTTTTTATGAAGGGGCGGTTCGTAGAGCCCTCCTTGGCCCTGTCGTGCCGAATGCACGACGGACGGGCTTGAGCACCATATTCGGACGGTAGCCCACCTGTCCCTTCTCATTTTTGCCTGTTGTAATGGTCTCCCCTTGCCGCTGCCTTTTTGGCTCTGGGGCGCAGAAGCTGGCTGGGCTTCCGTGCTGACCTTCGACGCGCCTTCAGGTATGTCGCGCATACCGCATACCGCTTGCAGAAAGCCCTGATCATTCACATCCTCCCATCTACACCCTCATTCATATTGTCCGTCTCCTCGTTGTCCTCCTTTTCCTCCTCCTCCTCCTCCTCTTCCTCCTCGTTTTCCTTCCGCCGGCCCTCCCTGCCTCCCTTCCTGCGGGGAGTACCCTCCTGCGGGGAGTGCCGTTCCTCCCCTCTATCTCGTGCCCCCTCTGGTGAAAGGGTGCTGCTTTCCCCGGGTCCGCCCCGCCCCGTGGCGGCGCGGCGCGCGCTTGGGAGTCCATGGAGGAGGTCACGCGGAGGAAATGGGGCAAGCGTTTGGGGGGCAGCGCGCGAGCGCAGGCGTGGCTCCTCCGGCGGTATCCTTCCCCTCCCGCCGTCCAGGGCCCTCCGTGGGCCCTGGCCCGCAGCCACTTCGGAACCCCTGCGCCTTGGTGGCCGTGGGCCCTGCCGCGGCGGCCGCGCCCGCCCGACGCAACGGTCGCGCGCTCTGCGGGCGATCGGGGTTGGCCCCGGCGAAAACCCTCGCGCGCACTCGGACCGAGGTATAAGATCGAGGTCGATTCGGGGAGGGTGCCCTGGTGTTTTTCCTGTATGTTGGATTTGTTTGTGCATCCTAGGGAGGGTCCCCCTGCATGTTCTGTGCGGCCTGGCCGCTGGCGGGTCTCACGTTTTTGAGGGATGCTCTTCTGGCCTACGCCCGACTGCACCCATGGGGCGATTCGCGTCAGGAGAGACACTTACGCGCACGATTTCTGTTTCGGGGGGGTGGGGGGGGGGGCGTCGCGGCCGTGCGCGCAGCGAGAGCGCGTCGAAGGTCGAAAATCGCCGTTCCACCCGCGAAAAAGCGCGGACGTGACCGCGGCTCGCGCGCCGCGGCCTGCCGAGGGCGCGAGGGCGCGACGGCGATCGGGCCAGAGCGGCTGCGCTCTTCCAGTCGGGGCGGTGCGCGAGGGCGCGGGGGGCGCGAAACTGACCTCGCCTCGCGTGCCGCCGCTGCCTGGGCCAGAGCGGCCGCGCTCCCTCGGGGGCGACGCAGGGGCGCGAATGGCCGCCGCGCCCCGCGGGGCGCGCGGGGCGCGAAGCGCCCCCTGCACTGGAGGGCCGCCGCGCGTGGGCAGTTGGCCGAGGAGCGCCCTGCTCGGATCGCGAAGCGCCCCCTGCACTGGAGGCCGACGCGAGCCCCCCCCCCCACGGCCAGAGGGGTGCGGCAGGTTCGTGCCGCGTCGACTCGGCGGCACCCCCGGCGCGGGCGTTCCGGGGTCGAACGCCGCCAGAGGCCCAGAAGTGGCCGGCATCGAACGACCCACCCAGTCGGAAAGCCTCGATCCTTCAGCGTTGGCAGCAGCCAGCGTATGGGTGGCGCCCACGGTGGTTGGATCCACGCGGTGGTAGCAGCCAGCGCACAGGTGCAGAGCACGCCTGGCACCGCCTGGCAAAGCAGGGCGCTGCCATCACGGCCAGAGCAGGAGACTTGAACCGAAGAGGAAGAATAATGATAGCAATGATGGTAACAATGACCATCTACCACTATTAACGCTAAGACGAGTAACAATACGAATCACAAGCATAAGAGGATCGAACCATACTGAGAAGAAGACGACTGCGTAAGCATAAGCCTCTGAGCTCCGCGCGGGTTTCTTGGATCTGCGTTTGGCCCCCCTTCCTGGCCGGCGGAGCGCGTCAGAGGCGTCCGCGCGGAGGCCCGACATTTTATGAGGAGGGTGCCAAGGTCCGTCTCCTCTTCCTTCTCCTCCTTCCCCGTGTGTGTTCTCCATCCTCACGAGGAGAGAAAAAACACAGACACAATTAATCGTCGATTCCACAGGAAATATGGGAAAATATGGGCAGAGGGGGGGAAGACAGAAACCCAGAAAATATGGGAAAATATGGGGAATCCTTTCATTTGTGTGCATTTATTTGTGTGTCCCAGGTCCCCTTCACATCCGTCCTCCTTCATCCCCCTCCTTCCGTCCTCCCCCTCCTCCCGTCCTCCACCTCCATCCTCCGGTTGTCCTCGCGCCTCCCCCCCGAAGAGTGAGCCGTCGTGGGGAGGGAAGGGATGGAGAGCCCGCGCCCGCAGCGCGCAGGTACATGGCGGAAAGGTCGTCCTCGGAGCTCCTCTGCGACATCGCCAACGGGAGGGGCTCGGGCTCGGCTGCAGATCGTGGGGGCCTGGTGTGCCCTCGTAGCTCCGTCTCCAGAGTGCGGTGGCGTGCGCCGGCCTCTGGCAGTCGACGAGGGAGCGCCGATCTAGCGTCGTCTGCTTCGATTTAGCGTCGTTCTGCTCCGATTTGGCGTCGAGCGCCGACCTGGCGTCGATTTAGCGTCGTTTGGCTTCGATTGGCGCCGATGCGCAAGAGCCACGGAGGTGGCACGGTAGGCTCCCACGATCGGGCGACGAAATCTATACATATCCACTGCTCTCTGACCATGCCCATCTTGAACCCAGGAGCTGTGTATGCGCCCTCCTGGCCAAGCCAGGAGGGCGTGGCGTGTACACCGCTGCGGGGTTGAGGATGGGCCTGGCCGGGGAGCAGTGGATATGTATAGATTTCGTCGCCCTACCACGAGTGGGGGAGCGAAGAGTGGCGCAGGCATAACAACTCTCGGGGGTCCGGCGCCGGCCCGAGAAGCCCGCGCGAGCCTCCGCGTTTTTTTATGCTCGCGCCATTGGTTCGTTCCCCCACTCATCGGAGGGCACCAACTATACACCAACACCGATCCTGGCCCAGGATCACCCTGGGCCCAGGATCGGTGTATATGCCTTCTTGCGCAAGGCACTCCCCTCTTTGGTGGTCGGCGTCCCTCCCCCGCTTATCTCCTCCCTTCCCGCCGTCCCTTCCCCTCCCCTCTCCCCCCTTCCCCTTCCCCCTCTTCCTCGTCCCCCCTCTCCCCTCTCCCCCCCTCTCCCCTCTGCCCGTCCCCTCCCCTCTCCCCCCTTTCCCTTCCCCCTCTTCCTCTTCCCCCCTCCCCCTCCGCCCTGCCCTCCCCGCCCCTCCCTCCCTCTTCCGCACGGCCCACTCCGCTCTCAAGTTGCCCTGTCTTGCGCCAGTTGGGTGCGGCAGTGCGGCCACTCCCTCCTGAAACCTTCCTGAGGAAGGTTTTAGGACGGTTTTTTTTTTGGAAGGTTCCAGGGATCCTGGAACCTTCCCGAGGAAGGTTTTAGGAGGTTTTTACCTAACAGCTTTTGCTGATAGGTTTCTAGTGGTCTCAAAAGAGAGCAGCAGATGACTCCACAGGGGGGTCGGGGCGGGACCCGGGGCGGTGCCGCCGAAGCCGAAATCGCTTGGGACATCCTCGCAAAATCGCTCTTGGCGCTCCCAGAACTCCATTCCCGGGCCACATTTTGAATGCCCGGAGCCAACTGTAGGCCACTTCGTGCTCTTCGACTTCCCAGAACTCCATTCCCGGGCCACATTTTGGATGCCCGGAGCCAACTGTAGGCCACTTCGTGGTCTTCGAGTTCCCAGAACTCCATTCCCGGGCCACATTTTGAATGCCCGGAGCCAACTGTAGGCCACTTCGTGGTCTTCGAGTTCCCAGAACTCCATTCCTGGGCATGATTTTGAATGCCCGGAGCCAACTGTAGGCCACTTCGTGGTCTTCGAGTTCCCAGAACTCCATTCCCGGGCCACATTTTGAATGCTGAGGCAGGCTGATGGTGAGGCTGAGGCAGGCTGAGGATGAGGCAGGCTGAGGCTGAGGCCGAGGCTGAAGGCAGACTGAGGCTGAGGCTGAAGCAGGCTGAGGCTGAGGCTGAGGCAGGCTGAGGCTGAGGCTGGGGCAGGCTGATGCTGAGGCAGGCTGAGGCTGAGGCTGGGGCTGATGCAGGCTGAGGCTGAGGCAGCCTGAGGCTGACGCCGAGGCTGAGGCTGAGGCAGGCCGAGGCTGAGGCTGACGCAGGCTGAGGCCGAGGCAGGCTGAGGCTGAGGCTGAAGCAGGCTGAGGCTGAGGCAGGCTGAGGCTGAGGCTGTGGCTGTGACTGCCGTTGCCACTGCGACTGTCATCGCGAATGCGACTACGACTGCGAGAACAGCATAATTCTACAACTGGATTCTCATATGAATCGTAAGGGGAATGCTTCCATATATGCTCCTACACATCGCTGTTAGGTTGCTTTGCCGGGATATTTTTTGTTGAAGGTTCCAGGAGTCATGGGACCTTCTGGAGGAAGGTTTTAGGACGGTGTTTCGGAATGTTCGTGGAATCCTGGAACCTTCCTGAGGAAGGTTTTAGGACAGTTGTTTGGAAGGTTCCAGGGATCCTGGAACCTTCCCGATGAAGGTTTTAGGACGGCTTTTTGGAAGGTTCCAGGAGTCCTGAAACCTTCCGGAGGAAGGTTTTAGGACGGCTTTTTGGAAGGTTCCAGGAGTCCTGAAACCTTCCTGAGGAAGGTTTAGGAAGGTTTTTTTGAAGGTTCCAAGAGTCCTGGAACCTTATGGAAGAAGATTGCAGGACGGTTTTTTGGAACTTTCCAGGATTCCTGGAACCTCCCTGAGGAAGGTTTTAGGAAGTGTTCTTTGTGGGCGGTTCCAGAGCCCTGGAACCTTCCTGAGGAAGGTTTTGCCACGGTGTCTTGGAAGGTTACAAGAATCCTGGAACCTTCGTGAGGAGGCTTTCAGAATGTTTGTTCCCAACCATCCTGTGGTGTTGGGTCCTCGTTTTGAAGAGACGTCGCCCCGCGTTCCTCCTCTCCTCCTCTCCTCCTCCCCCTCCTCCCTCCTACTCCCTCCTCCCCCTCTTCCCTGCGTTTCACCCACCCAGTACAGCGCTCCGTAGCCCCATAGGGAGATCCACCGAAGGCCCCAGTGCCACCGTCCACATGCGCCCCCCCACTCAGTACAGCGTTTCGTGGCCCCACAGGGAGCTCCACCGAAGGCCCCAGTGCCACCGTCCACATGCACCCCCCCACTCAGTACAGCGCTTCGTGGCCCCATAGGGAGCTCCACCGAAGGCCCTAGTGCCACCGTCCACATGCGTCCGCTTCGTGGCCCCCGCGTCCCCCCCCAGTACAGCGTTTCGTGGCCCCATAGGGAGCTCCATCCACCGACAGGCCCCCAGTGCCACCGTCCACATGCGTCCCCAGTCCCCCCCATCTCGGTACAGCGTTTCATGGCCCCATAGGGAGCTCCACCGAAGGCCCCAGTGCCACCGTCCACATGCGTCCCCCCCACTCAGTACAGCGTTTCGTGGCCCCACAGGGCGCTCCACCGAAGGCCCCAGTGCCACCGTTCACACGTGCTGTGCTATGGTATGCTGTGCTGTGCTATGCTGTGCTCTGCTGTGCTGCGCTATGCTCTGCTATGCTATGCTGGGCTATGCTATGATGTGCTATGTTGCTCTATGCTATGCTGTGCTTTGCTATGCTAAAGCTCAGCGAAGCTAAGATGAAGGTAAGCTAAGATATACCTGAGCTAAGATGAAGCTAAGCTAAGCTAAGATGAAATAGGCTAAGCTAAGAGAGGTAAGCAACGATAAGCTAAGGGGACGTAACTGGGGGAACCGCGGGGCGGATACTGGGGGAACCGCCCGGGCCGGTTCCCACTGCCCGGCCCTTTAAGCCAAGAGAGTCAGAATCCTTTTAGGCAGAGCCTAGGTAGGGAATTAGAATCAATCGGGAGCCTCTCAGGAAGGAGAGGGGGCGGAGATCCAGACGGAGGAGGGGCGAGTGCAGGGGCGCTTCCAGCGATCCCAGGGCAGCCCTTTGAGCTGGACACATCGCAAACACCTTCGGCACTGAGGACTGGCTCCGCACCAGCAGAGCCCTCATCAAATCTGAAAGTGGGACCGCCTGAGGGCCAGGGTCCCGAACGAGGGGGGGACGCAGACGAGGCCAGAGGGGGGGGCACTCCCAGGGGCCCCAGCACAACGTGCAGAGCAGTGGTTGTCAGAGCATTCGGTCACGAGGTCACGAATGCGGTGCAAAACCTTCGGTCACGAATGTCGGGCCGGGCGAAAGGGGGGGATTGGGAAAGGGGGGGTTACGAAATTTGCTGCATGCAGCTGATTTCGGCCTCACCGAGGGGCCCATTCCTCGATACATAGTCGCCTCCGGCGCCGGGAGGCGCCGGGAAAATCAGCTACGTGAGCTGATTCTCAAACCCCCCCTTTGCTATCCCCCCCTTTCGCCCGACCCGAGAATGCGGTGCAAAACCTTGGGTCGCCTGAACTGTGACCCACCTGCCGGGTCGGCCTCATGCCGTCCACAACTCGCTGTACTTGCTGCACTCGCTGAGGTGCCCGACCAGGAAGACGCCCCCGTAGCAGACGACGCCGAGGTAGTATAACGTCAGCGGACCACGGTGTCCAGCACCAGCCCGCTGCCGAAGAAAGGGTAGACGTAGCACTGATCAAATGACAGCGTCTTCCTGCGGGGCTGTGTTCAGGCCGGATTGTGCCATGGCTTGAATATACTCCTCCGACGTCATAGGTGGTGCTCTCGATCTCGATGCGCGCGGGCTGCAGGACGTGGCTTCCGCGGCGCGCCCGCGCGTGCTGAGCCGATCCTCGCTGCGCGACCTTGCCCTGCCACAAGAGGGCGATCTCATGCCAGCGACCGACCTGCCATCTGAATCTGCGACCTCCGTGGGCGCGATAGACGCTGTCTTGACCGATAGCGGCGATGGCGGGCTGACTGGGCACGACTGCGCACCCTTGAAATGTTCCATCATTTGCTGCGCACAGAAAGCCATGGCCTGCATCTCATGTCGTGCTGGCGCCACTTGCTCTTGAACATTGGGCGCTCTTGTAGCTATCCGTGACATGCCATCTCTCTCTCTGCAATCCTCGGCGGCGTCGGAGGCGCAGGCCATGGCGGGGCGGCGTGGGGCGCGGCGGCGGAGGGTCGCCCATAGGCACTGCAGACGCTGCGGGCGGCGGGGGCGGCGGCGGCGGCTTCGCCGCCGAGGCCCCCCCCCCCTGCCGACGCCGCAGCCGCGGCCTTGGGCAACGGCGCTGACGCCCCCGCCCGCCCCCCGCTCGGCGTCTCTCCGTAGAGGCCGAACGCTGCCTCCATGTCGGCAGAATCGCCCTCCCGCTCGGCTGCGTTCTCGTCCTCGATGGCCACCATAAGCTCCGAACGGGTCCTTTTTGAGAGCGTTCGCTTGGTAGTAGTCTGTCGTAGTTGATATCGAGCGCG